ATCCCTTCACAAGCGGTTTCGGCGGCGACTGCATCCAGATCTACATCGTCAACTGCGGCCTGAGATGCTGGACAACATCCAAGCACACTATTCCACTTTGTATCGGCTGGGATCTAATACAGGTGCGTCGTTTCAAACCATGCGTGAGCTTTTATCGGCGGCTTTCCCTTCGACTCAACTTTACTATTTCCTGCGGCTCTCCTCCTTTGTCAACGAACCGTTTCGCTCCAAGGCTCAGAAGCTTCTTACCCAGGTCTTGCACAAGCGAGAACTCCAGGTCCCAACCACCATGACACAATTACTACTTCCACCTCTACATGATCGAGACTGGAAAGTCAAACTCGGAACCTGGTTGCAACGGTGGGTGGCATCTCATCGTGGTCTTTTCCCTTCCTTATTCCTTCCTAAGATCCGAGTCGTGGAAACTCGCAGTGCCACCTTGGGAGACCGCATCTACAACTACCGCAAATGGCAACGAAATTGGACTCCGGATACTTCTTTCCCGTGGCGCTGCATTGACGTGGATGACCGTACCACTTTTCGTGCACATTCTCATGCTGTGATCTTTGATGAGTTTCGATGCATCAACACTGACATTGACTCCGACATCATGACTGCATCCATGAAGGATCAATATTTTGGGGATGTAGCCAAACTTCAGCAACGTTTTGAGATGCAGCTTCGCAAACTGGCTCGCCGATGGAAAGTACAAGGGTCCAGCTTTCATGCTGATTACCAACCCATTCTGGCGGAGTTGTTTGCTGAACATCGCTCCAACGTCCAAGACCGGGCTCACTGGACCTCAGAGTCATTGCAGCACACGACTTGTGCCCTGACGACGTGGGTGGTCATTCCAGCGGATCATTTCCCTTCGCGTGCTCATGTGATCTGCCCAACTTTGTTTTCCAATCTGTTGCACAAGACCTTTTGCACAGGAGAAGTATTTGCATTATGCCGCGAGTCTGCCGCATCCTTTCGCGCCGAAGTCGTGACTATGATACCTGCTCGATTGCAACACCGCTATGCATGGGGACTACGACTTCATGCACCCCTACCCACCGCTCGCATTCTGCCCAAACCGACCAAAGACTGGCTCAAAGCGAGACCAATCATTTCTTTCTTTCGCACATGGGCTGCACCTCTTCTCACGGTCTTCGGCGCCCTCATCTTTGAGTTCACCAAGGTCACCTTTCCGGACGTTCCGGGTCAGCTTTCAGTTCAGGAGCTGGCACAACAACTCTGAGATGCGCTGTCGTCCGCAGACCCTGCGGAATATATACAGTTGGTATCACAAGACCTGTCCGGTTTCTTCACATCAATTCCCACAGAACGTTTTCACCAAGCTCTCCAGGTTCTACTTCATCGTTATGATCAGGTGGTGGGTTTGCTGAACCGTCATGTCACGCCGGGATGATTGACAGATCTAGAACTCGCTGAAGTTCGGTGCCAGGTAAAAGACACTCAGCTCTTTGATGCAGCAGGTGTGCACTTCATTTTGCCCAGGTTGTGTTGTCTCGCAGCTGCCATTTGCTTGAGTTGTCCTTGCATTGCTTGCGCTTTCTCCGGAGTTCGTGAACAACCTGATTGCCGTGCTCAACGTTCTTGCCTCACAAATTTCAACATCTTTGGACACCTTGAATTTTGCCCTTGCGGTCAATCGGAACTCAGAATCAGATCCCAGAATGGCGCCCAGACCGCCACGCAACTCGCGGCATGGTCTACGGCCACGCATCATCACGGAACGCACGGGCACGCACGCCACCTTGGACTAGGACTCGGCCTCTGGACACATCCTCGACCTGGTACATACCTGAACTATCGCCCCCTCGTGATGAACGTCGTGAAGTTCCAGGCCCAGGAGCGGAACATGAGCCTTGCCTAGGAAGTGTGCTCAGCAACGCTCTCGTGGACCGGCTCCCCCAGCCAAGAGTACCCGCTCCCATCACGGCTCTATCCGTCCGCATCCTGGTGCTTCGTCGTTTCGCCCGTCCCCCACAGTGGTGCATGGTCCTCGTGAACTTCTGCAAGAGTTCACGATAGCCCTCCGCAATGCATACCATGAACCATTCACGGCATGGACGCAAGGGGAGCTGGATGAGATGGTCGGGCGCAAAAAGGACAAGGACGCGAGGCCCACCTACAAGACTATTGCCCGCTCCCTTCAGAAGACCGCGGAGGAAGTCAAGCATGCCTGGAAGGTCTACCAGCAACTTGAGGCACGCAACTAGACTCCATTGAGTTGACCTGCGTGCCGTAAAAATCTTCTTGCGGGTTGTGAGTTGAGTCGGATTCTTTGTCTTGTTTTGCTTGTCATGCAGTCTTGAGGGATCAAGTCATGATGCTTGCTGCTTATGCTTGGGCTGCCTTGTCTTGAGTTGTGCTATCTCCATGTTCATGCTTTCGCAGACTTCTTTTGTCTCATAGAGGCGTATTTGGTTGTTATGCTCAATTCGACATTTGGCACCGAGAGATGGTGCTTCCCGCGCTACTTTGAGTACAACATCGTGCGTGCGTGGCCCTGGAAATACAAGAGTTGAATGCATTCGCGTTTACACACCAGGCGCGTGGCAGCCTGTCGCAGAATCCACCTTGGGACCGGCTCGAGATGACTCGTCCACCTATCGTGAGTGGCGCAGGTTCTACCACTTCGACGTGTACTGGCCTCGTGACAGCACGGGAGGCACCACTGCAGACGCCCTCGCCCTGCCGGTCTCCTACGCGTCCTTTTACACATGGCAATATCGAGATTGGCACACCAGAGGATACCAACGACTCGGCAATCCACACCCGAGCATAGGATCGCCTGATCTCATGTACGCTGGATTGTCATCCTCATCGGCATCCTCGGTTTCAGATGGTGGTTGGCGTTCCCCTTCACCTCCAGTGGGCTATGATCCTAACTTTGACTGGGACGAGTGACATTGACACCTGAGCTGGCTTTAGCTATAAAACACTGCGCTTGATGTTGCTTGCGTCTTGAGTGCATGGTTGACGGTCTTGCGTTTGACTGGCATGTTCAGCGTCACATGGCATGAAGTGTTTCTTGCCTGCAGCCTTGTGCGTCATTGTTCAATCAACATGCCGTGGCTAGCGAGGTGGCCTACTTCCTGCTCAACTTGGAGACCCTACGTCCCCGTCTTCTGAGCGGCACCGTACAGAGCGTGCAATTTCTCGTTCTCCTCGCCGCTGTGGATATTTTGGTAGACACTAGGGAGCTGAGCACGTGGTCTTCCGGATGCAAAAGGTAGTGTACGCCCCTCGTGGAGGGGCGTGTGTGTGCGGAGTGGCAGAATACCCTGTCACCGCAATAGAGCGCAGGGGGGCAGAGAGGACTTGCAAAGCTCTGCCCAACGAAGCTCTTTGCAAGCTCCTAGGATACGGAGTCTGATCAACTCCGCGTACCTGCGCAACTCGTGTGATTCAAAGTCCTTTTGGCCCGTTGTTTCTCTCGCTGTGTGTGCTTCATGTTGAATTTGTAACGTTTTCGCCTCTAGAGGGAAACCGAGTGCTTTGCAAGTCGAAACTTACCCCACTCGAGACTCATCAGTTGTACTCGAGACTCATCAGTTGTACTCGAAAGATTAGCATCCTCCCTTGGGAGTTGAAGTGTGTGTTATGCCTTCTTGGGCGCAGGTTGTTGGATCGGAGAAGCTGAACCGTTGCCGGTCTCCATCCCCATCATCAACAAAGGGATGCTCGTTGGGCTCTGCGGCTTCCAAGGATGCCAATGTTGCTGCCATGCATTTCAAACTGTTGGTATCCCAACAATATATATATATATATGTATATATATGTGGGTCAGTGTCCAGGGTTCCCAGCCCCCCCCCTCCCATGGTATGGTCCCATATATATATATATATATATGTGTATATATATATACACGTATGTGTATGGGGTGACCCTCCAAGATGGCGATCTTATTCTATTGCTGATTTGGGTTTGAACGACAGAGAGCCGTTCACAAACATGAGTATGTGTCAAAATGGGCGGAGCCCTCGCAATGGTAGGCTTCCGTTTTTGCCCTCCCTTTCAAAAACAAAAGGGGAGGCCCGAACAAAAGGCACAACCATTCGGAGCCGACACGCTGTTCGTCACCAACAGTCATCAGGCCGCAATGGTGCAATTGCGGGTCGGCTCTGAATCAGTTCTAGGCACGCAACATGGTCGCCTAATGAGGGGGGTGGGCTGCAAAAGTGGTCTGATTCCCCGCTACACCCAGAATCGGACACCCCCTATTCATAATCTGGGGTTGAAATTCATATGGGGTCAACATTAACAAAATGCTCCTGTCAATTTGCTAGAGTGGAAGCTACTGACCCACATGGTCAAGGTTCCGGGAAACCAGGTAGAGGAACCTGCTAGCGCGACAAAAAGAATCGATTTTGGGCCGCGTCAATTTTTGCTGCGGGCAAATGACAAGTGGACGTTGGAGCGACACCCACTCAACAAAAAATGAGGGCACCGCTGGAGACAGGTGGGTTGCGGTGCTCGATGTTGGGGTGTGGGTTTGGTGGGAATTTCCAGGGAGTCTCTCATCCATGCCGCATGCCCATTTTCTTGACCCGAAGGTGTAGACTTCAACCCAAGAGTGGTTGCATTTTCCTGCAAGGGAAACTGGGTTTGAGTCTACCCTCGTTGTTCGAAGCCTGGAACCCTGGCACCGCCACTCCTTTCTTCCCATTCTTGGTTCTTTGTTTCCTCGCTCCAGCGGCTTGGTGGCTCAAGATTTCGGTGCTCAAGCCCCAGTTGGGAAGAAACAGCTGTTGATCCATGGGGGGACTATTGGAAGACACTGGAACATGAGGATTTGAGCCTGAAGCTCCATATGGCTTGTCGAAGGAAACTCCAGCACATGGACAAACCCCCTAAAAAAGACTTGCTTGGTAAATGTTGAAGGCTTTCCCAAAAGGAAACACCCACCCATTTTTTGGGGTGGACAACCCAAATCCCAAAAAAGACAAGCCGCCCAACTGAAAAACCTCCTCTGCTCCAAATCCCGCCTCTTGGACCTCGCCCAATGCCACCGCCAGCCCGGAGCCACGCTGCTCCAGGCTACGCCGCAAGTTCTGCACGGACTCCAACCTCAGCCCGGAAGTCACCTTGCCGTTAGCTTGCTCCTTTTTTTCTCCGGGAGGGAGGGAGGGGGGGTTTCAGTTGTTGTTTTACCTTGCGGTTTCTTATGTTCTCCAGCCGGGTCAGTGTTTGTTTCTTCTAACTTGTGGTTTGGATTATCTTTGTGCTGTTTCTTGGTTGCTTTTTGTTGGGGGGGAGGAATTCAGCTTCCCTCTGACTTGTGATTTGGATTGGAGCTTTAGCCAGAAGTCACCTGAAAAGTGGGTCGAATATCGGGCAACCCCAGAATGGAACCCTGGTAAATGCAAACAAGGACTTAAAAATGCAAACAAGGACTTAAACCTGCGGTCACCTGGTGGTTTAATTTTGGCAAAAATCTGGTAACCCCACAATTGCTTGTTCGGAAAATTGGAAACAAGGACTTAAACCTCGGTCCATATCCTGGTGGCGACTAATTTTGACCCATACCCACCTTACCCCCTTGTTTTTGTTTCTTGCTTCCTCTTTTTAATTTATTCTTTTCTTATTTGTTCCTTTATACATGTTTGCTGTTTTTGGGGGGGATTAGTGTGGTTGTTTGTTTGTTTGTTTGTTTGTTTGTTTGTTTGTTTGTTTGTTTGTTTGTTTGTTTGT